ATTTTACAAAAAGGTGCCTCCATCAACTGATTTCCCTTCAGAAAAACAGGAGAAAAAATCCAAATGTGTTTTAAGAAACCCCTTAAATTCAAACTTTTTTTTCTTCTGACATGCTTAACAAATAAAACAACAAAATTCAGGTTCTCCTTTTGCTTAAATATATTTTAAAAGAGAGTAACAAACAACAGTTCTGCGTTTTAGTGAGGGATCTTTTTGCTTTGCTGGCTTTAAGATGCACCTGATGGCGCCTGAGAAACAGCCCAGCATCCATGCCGACTGATGCTGAACTGTCAGCTCACAACGTGCCAGATTTCGTTAATCCCTCCGACACAAAGGGCCAGGCGGTGGGCAAACAGGCTGACAGAACATCTGTAGTCGGGAAGTAGGTTGACAGCAGGCAAAGCTCCGACTGCTGGACTGAGAAGAAGCTTTGGATCTGATTAAAGGGAGCGAGCACAAACATTTTCTTAAAAAAAATCTGTGTTCCTTTTAATACTTATATGTCACATCCAGAGTTTAATATTTGAATTCTTTATATTATCTGCAAAAAAAATGCATGTTTTAAAACTAGTAAATAATGTCATATCTGTGTGTGACTATAAATGAATAGAACCTGAATGTCTGGCCTGTAACACGCTTTGATTCCTGTTGAGATAAAAATGTAATACTGACAGCTTTTTTTCTTTTATTTTAAACAGAATGAGTCAAGCACCTGTAGATTTACTGTTTCGCAAACTCAAACGGAAAGTGACGGCGTCTGAAAGGAAAGGACGGACAAACAGACATACAGACCAACATCCATCGATCTCCTCAATACTTGTGAGCTTCAAAAAAACCATGAGCATGTTTCAAAATTCACACTTGTGCCTCTGCTCTTGTAAATTTCTCTCAGAGTGAAACACTGTTTAGCTTTTTTTTATTTTGTTTTGTTTTTTTGCCTTGTGCATATTTCTCTCTCCCCTGGATTCCTGTCCGTTCATGTAGAGAAAGAAGAGGAGAGTAAAGTGCAATGCCAACGTAAAGGCTCTGAAATGACCAGACAGCAGTTAGATTGAATCAGAAGCATGCAGTTGTCTTCTGGGTCTACGGGGGAAGTGGGGGGGGGGGGGTTTGATCTAGACTGCAGCTGTGATCTTGTCTTCAGGGATGGTGTGTTTTATTCTAGGGATGGCATCGTGTAATGATCCACCCATTCAGTCTCACTTTCATTGAGTGAAGCAAAGAAAACTTTGACAATCACAAGAAAATAATAATGATTGTGTTGAACATTCAACAGTTCACTGCTTTTATCCAGTTTGCACAACTGAAACTCCTCTATCCTTGTTTTTTTCAACAAAACATTTCAAAACAAACCAGTCATGAAGGCTCATTCAAAGAAATACAAGTTAAAAAAAACAACAAAGGAATAATCAAAGTCTGTTTTGATGAAAGCTGAGTTTTCAAAACTGGGAATGGTCCATCTCATCCAGCCATGAGGCCGGACTGGTGGGGAAGTCCGGGTATCCCGTACTGCTGCCTGTGGAGAGATCTGAGGTGGGGCCCCCGGCCATGGCCCTCAGAGCCTGTCCCACACCGCCGGGCCCCCCCTGCGCCACCAGACTGTCCATTGAAAAGCCCAGGTTGTTGAGGAGAGGCGTGTGACCGGGCAGGGAGGTGATGGACGAGGGCGACTGAGGGAGGCCGTAAGGACTTCCTGCTCGGATGTCGTGGTAGGATTGTCCCGCCGTGTCGATGGAGAAGCTGCCGTTCAGCACCGCGCCGCCGGTCACGTCGCCGACACTCCCGTACAGGCCATTGGCGTGGCTCAGGTCTGACAGGACTTGGTCGTCTGAGGAGGAAACAGCAGGTGTGTTTTAAAACTCTGGCACTCCGGCAGCACTGTCACCTGAACGCACATTATATCGCTGTTATCCTTCAGTACAGTTAAGTGCTTTTATGGGTTAGATTTATCGCGACGACATTATGTGGGTTTTATGGAGATGTGCAGCGGGTGGATTCTGTCACAAAAAACTTAAAGGGAATAGTTATGATAGTTTGTGTCTGGAGCGACGCAGCTGTTAGAGCTATTGTCTTTCAAGAAGGTCACAAGTTAGCCTCCTAGCCTGAGGCTACGTTCTTCCTGTGCATGCATGGGTTTTCTCTGGGCACTTTAGTTTTCTCCCGCAGACAAAAAAACATCCATAGGTTGATAAATTGTCCCTAGGTGTGAATGTTTGTCTTGTTTGTCTCTGTTTCCCTGCGATGGACTTGTGACCTGTCCAGTGTGTCCCCCCAACTCCCACAGTGACTGATGGAGATGGACAACAGCTGCCCTGCCCCTCAGAAAGAAGTAGGTAAAGAAAATTGATGTATAGTTAGCAATTTATTAGCCGGGATAGCAGAGCACAACATATGGAGACAAGGACAGAAATTTTCCTTTATGCTAGGCTAACAGCTAGCCTGCTTCTCTGGGTAATAAAGTAGGGCTGGGTAATAAATCAGTAACAATACATGGCAATAGATACGTGATCAATATCAATAGAAAACACATTCAATCGAATGTTGATAATTTCACTAAAGTTTGATCCAGAACTGCCCAGCTTTCTGGGGGATGTAGGCAAAGGAAAAGCTTTAGCCACTCGATCTCTCATGGCCCAGCTAAGCAAGGTGGCATCAACTAACTCAGTCACTCTTTGGGTAGCTAGCAACAACCTGCTGAGTAACATGAGCTGTTTAAGGTTTACCACCGTACCTGATAACTGCTTAAAAATACAAAAGAATGACGTTGTCTGAGAAATCCTTAAATCTCCTGTGGTAGCCATGTGGAGCTGCTTAAACCCTGTCTGGTACAAAGCCCCGCCTCGTTGTACAAAGCTCCTCCCTGGACCTCAGTCTGCACCCGAGCTTCTGCCCCACAGAGCACCCCTCCCCTGAAGGGTTGTTGTGAAGACTGCTGAAGTGGGAGTGTTGGAAAAGTTAAGAGGTTCTTAAAGAGACAGAGGCCAATTTCAAGGGCTTTAGACAGACCATGATTCTAAGTCAAATTCATTTTTGATGTATACAGCATTTTCACAACAACTGAAGGTAACATATTTACTTGATTGTGGTATAGAATTGAACTATGTGGCTGGAAAATACATAATCCCCGTCTCCACCACTAAACCTTTATACTTTTGCATGGCACTGTTTGATTTGTGTTTCCCAACCAAATAAGCTATGTTACCATGCTAAGGGTTGGTTTGATCTGATGTTAAAGCTTTAATTTATCTTTAGCTTCTGATAAAAACAGTTCTGACAGACAAAACATTTCCTTTAACAGCATCAGTCAGACTGACCTAACACTGCTAACATCTGCAAGAAGTCATTTTTACATCTCGGTGATTATCCCTGCTGGGATTAAGACATTAACTAACTGCAGTGGATGACCAAGAATACAGAGAAACTGAGTCCAAAAGTGACAGAAGTAGTATGAATTAATAAATAAAATAAACTTTTTAAACTAATGTCAGATAAAGAAGGTTTTTATTTTTGGTAACAAACTTGAATGTAAAACAAATTAGAATAATTTAAATCATTATTACACATAAGTATTTGTGATTTTGTCTAAGTTGTGCTTAAAAAACACCACAGAAACTTTATTTTATGCTTAAATTCTGTTTAAAAAAACAGCAGAAGTGAAATTTGTCTTAGGCCCAAATCTTTTGTCGAGTGTAATAAAAAGTGTTTTTAAACTTCTGCCCCTGACATTTTTTTTCTCTTCATGAATCTGAAAGTGTTTCAGTCGAAGAAACAGGTTTTTCTACGTCACGTCCAAAGATTTAGTTTCTGCAGATTTGGAATATTTTTAAAGCTTCAGCTGAAAGAAACAGAAAACATGAAGGAGTTGAAACTGTTTGACTGAAACCTGCAGGAGTATTGAGATGTCAGAGGGTCCAGCAGGCTGGTGGACTCTGAACTGTGTTCTAGACCTGGATGGGAGGTCATCTAAGACCCGATGAGTCCCTCCAGTTTAAAATAATTATTTTCACTTTTTAAAGCTTAAAGATGTATGATGCCTCCTAGGATTGAACCTGCAACCCTTGAATTACAGCATTAGCCAGTCTTCATACTAACTGTGCCACGCACTCTTCTACGTAAACATCTGTTTATGTAAAACTTGTCTTTTATTTTTGGGTTTTTGGGCATTGGGATGTTTCATCTGTCCGAGGACTGAAAGTCTGAGAGGAAAACCTTCATCTGATCCACTTCAGACTCAGGAGGTCCTGAAGCCTCAGAGCTGAGAGGTCTGAGGACAACTCGTCAGGCTTCTTTCCTCTGAGCTGAACCTCAGGACCTGCTTCACTCAGGAGACCAGAACCTCCTCAGAACTCAACACCTGAACTTTCAGCGGCTCTGCAGGAACATTCAGGTTTTACAGATGAACTCTAAAGGTCTTCAGCTCCAAACTTTGACTTTCTTGTCTGAACTCAGTCCTGAATCCAGCTTTCAGAAAACTGCAGCTTTTATTTCCACCAGACTGGTAAAATTAAAAGAAGTTGACTTTTTGTTTGTTTGTCATTGCCCAGCTTTAATAATGGTTTAGTTTGACTGTATGTTAGTTTTAGACTGCCAACTTTCACATTCTGACCTTCACGTGCTCGTGTTTCTGGAAATGAGGAAATCTGACATCTACAAAGTTCTGAGGTGAATCTGCTGCATCTGGAGAAACATCACAAATGAGTGAAGACGTCTCTTTCCTTGGCCCTGACTGTTTTAAACTGGCTGAAGGACAAGGAAATTGTCCTGAAGAAGCAGCAGGTCTTTATCATGCATCTGGCTTAGTAAAAACCAGCCTCCTTTTCTTCACTTTGCTTCGCAAAGCGGGTCTGGAACCTCGACTACTGAGAAGTGATTTCTTGCTGGGGGTGTGGCCTCTGTTGAAGTTAAAAACAATTGTATCTAATTTACCAATCGCTAATATTTGGCCGTGATGTATGCAGTCAGTGCGCCAACTTGACTGTGAAGGACGCTAAGCTAAGAAGCTAACTGGAAATTGCGTGTGCTGTAAACAACCATCCCCTACTGGGAAGAGAGAAGTATCAAGCCGAACGACATAGCTTTAAATGAGAGCTGCAGGATTTGTGAGACAAGTTTAATTTAATTTGGAATTCTTGTCAACACAGACTGGCCTCATTCACTCCTCTGCTGCCATTGCTAAACTACAGGCAGAATGAAACAAAGCAGAAAGTCGTTGTCGTTCACAACTCCTCCTTCTGTTCGCTAACTGAACCGGTTTAAATTCTACCGGAGAAATCCTTGTCTTTGGTAAAATTCCAGATGGAGCAGTGAAGGGGAACTAGAATTGAGTGGAACTGTGTGGGAAGGCATCATGAGTTTCTGTTATTAAAGTTTATCAATTTTAACTTTGTAACACTGTACAATTTGTTCTGTCCAGGAAGAAACAGTTTTTAAGCAACACATTGTGTGGATCTTTGACATGTGCTTTATGTAGACCTGTTGTACGAGTATTACTTATTTATGTATATTGTGTATATATGTATATTGTGCATATTATATATGTATATTATGTATGCATTACGAGTTTGAACCAGATCTGGGCTGCATTTTGTGACTCTTAATTATTGTACCGGGCCAAATCAGCCTAAATATGAAATAAGAGTTTTGTAACTGGGCCACATCTTGGCCAAACCTAGTAGCTTTGTAGAACCTCTGGCCTCGATCTGTGGGCCGCTGGAAACAAAGACCTAAACCCAAGTGTTTTTTTAATGAGTCCAGGGCAAATGCTTGGCCCAGAGACAGCACTGATACATATTGCTGTAAGGGTTATTGATTTTTTACATGTTCTGTTGGTTCTGTTGGCAGTGTGAGTTGCCTTCCTTGGATAAAAGTAGAGGAAATTCTGTATTTCACGTTTGGTTGTCCATGGTGAGATCAGGTTGTCAGAGACAAATATAAACCTCTTATGTCGGCCCCTGAATAAGTACAAACCATCATGTTGTTGGTGCTGAGGCTGCTGAACCAGTCCACCTGCTTGGTGTATCAAGCCAGGTAAAAATTTATCCAACTCCCAGCAGACTGATACATTCAGCAGTGCCAGTCCACCAACATTTACTGGGTTGATGTAAAGAGGGGCCTTGTTGCTGTTGGCCCAGCCTGGATGAAGACTTTTGCCTCTTTCTCCATAATCTGTGATTTGTAACTGATGCTACAGATGATAAGCAGAGTTCTAAGTAGAAATTTTGGTAATTCACTTGAGTAATTATTTTTCATCTAACCTTTTACTTCTACTCCTTACATTTTCACTCAGTTAAAAAAATCTAAAAGTAAGTTTTTTCCCTCTATTTCATTCTGGCTTGTTATTCTTTAAAAATTTTAAAACCTATTCAGATAAATTACACCCCCCAGATAGAGTGAGTTTAATTGTGATTGGATCAGAAGTATAAATATATACCACTCTTGACACCTTATATATATTGTAACTTTTAAGAACTGTATTATATAT